AGGGCATCCGTTAGAGAAAACGTCTTGAAATGCCTACGCAATCGATATTCATTTTTAAATTTGTGCTTCACATTCTCTTGAATTTACGATGCTGTTTTCTCCACTTTTTGTGACTGTATGCGACAATAAATGTGACGATGAATGTGACTGGATTGCAAGTTGCCAAGAATCCATCCATTAGGAGGAATAAAACGATTTTTGAATTGACTTATCAGAATTCCTAGGCTTTTATATTTCGACGCATGCATGTTACTCACAAGTAGTCTGCATCTAATAGTGAATTTTCATCAGTTTGGTGATTATCGTACAGTCGCACCTTACAAAGAGCACTGAACAGCTTTTTTGTCCTATTTAGGACTCGTCAGCAGTATACACTCTTTGTATCCGCATCAGGAACCGAACCGTTGACAATCCGGTCGAGACTTCAAACTCTTACCCCTGAGATACATGGTCGACCATCATGACTTTGCGTAACTTACGTTCGTGAAAGAATACACTGCTGATGAATCCCAAACAGAACGAAACAGCTGTCCAGTGCTCTTTGTCGGTCATCAAAAATCGTTCCGTCGCTTACAGAACACATTCAAATAGTGGGGACTTAACAATCTCCCAAGAAATGAAACCCACACCCAGGACTATAAACAGTGCCTGGTGCCTGTGAACAATCGAATTGACTTTTCGAAATTTCCTTCCCGGAATATCTTTCACAACGGGAACACGTATCCAAAGGAAGCAATTTCCTTTACGAACATCGACGGTATTAATAATTTATTTTATTATGGAGAAGCCGTCGTGTGTTTGGGAGTCTGTCAGGTACAAACCTGCAAGCACACCGAATTCAGATTACTAGGCTTTGTTGGATAGCGCACCTATTGCGTATGCCCAGCCATTGTCTGCCGCATCGTGCTTTATTCGTTGTGGCTAACCCGGGCTGGAGGAAACCACGTGGAGGTCAACAGATGATGTGGAGACGAGAAAGATGAAGAAATGCACAGAGCCATTAGGTAGAGTGGGTGTCTCTCACCTTCCAGGTTGGGGTCCGAAAGACTCCACAACTGGTTGGTTGGAGACATTGAAGGATATCGCAGCGAATCGGCAGCAGTGGCGTCTTGTCGTTTCTTATCAGGTCAGAATGCTTGAATGGTATGTATGCAGAGTTGGATTGCGTACTCTGTGTGTTGACCATAGTGGCTCATCTTCTTCTGCCTCCCCCAAAAGAGATCCAATCCCTGTCCATCATTAAATTTTACCAACAACCTTGTGTGCATTGCGAGTTTGGCAGCGGTCAGTGAAGTTCGCTTTACTGTATTTCGCTGTGCGATGATGATGATGACGAAAGTTAATCGAACCGAACCGGAGCAAAACCTGTGGTGATTACTTTTTCCAATCAAGTCGATACATGGTTGTTCAAACTTTAACTGACTGATCACTTCTAACGTCGTCTGAAAAGAACCGTACAAAAAAATTGAAAGACGAAGCATTTACGGAGACTTATTTGTTTCTGAATGTGTTTTCTCCGTCAAGCAAAGTTAACTTGCCACGCATGACTAAAAAGTCTTGATAGCACTCTAATTACCTGTTCAGCCTTTGTTGGAAATCACCCGCAATTCGTAACCACCACACAGATGCAAATCCGGACAATTTTTATTACACACCAATGTGTGATGAACAGTAAGCGGCGCGGACCCCATAGTCACGAAGACCTGCAATTCAGTGATGGTAACCGGCAATCCAGGATCCGGGGCTCGGAGAGGTGGACCACATAAGGCCCCGCTAGCTCAAACGTGGTATAGAACCGGACGACAGCAAAGCTGCCTACCACCAAAGCTGAGTGGCAGTGGTGGGGCTCGAACCTCGGACCACAGGGTCCAAAGCAAACCGGTGATAACGACTAAACCACCACCACCAACACATGAAATGCTGATATGCAAACCATTAGGATTAGCCAAGATATGGCTGACTGACGTGTAGCAAGCAGACTTTGGGTTATCCGATGCTTTGAGTAAGTGTAAACCTACAAATTACTTGTCAGACTGTCCATCTTGTACTTGTACAGTAAAAGTAATCTGGCGACAAGATAACCCTAAAGGGAACATTGTTACGCACAAAGAGAAGTTCCGTGTGTCCGAGCGACCAGGAACCGAAAACCAGTCGAAACAGACCTCAGTGAAATTACCTGAATTCATGAAAGTGATTTACTATGGTATTGTACAAACCAAAACCAAGGCAAAGCATACAGAACTGAACAAACAAACTTGAAGAATTGTGAATGTAATAATGTTAATAACACAGCGATGTCGGTATAGAATTAAGTTCATCGATGTTTCGATACACTCCTAATATCATTTGGTCCTGATGTGTTAAAAAAAACTTGAAGAATATATATGCACAGATGAGAAGTTCCATGAATTGCTCGTGAGCGTGATACTGCCAGGTTCCCCAGGCCAAGACAGCTGAATTTTCTTAGGAAAATAATAACTGGAACCTTCGGGTTGTAAACGCTTGACCCGCAGGGCAGTGCGAAACCGCAATCGATTCGAGACCGATATCCAGTTCATCTAATCATATACACTTTGGGCGGCGTCCGAGGTCCTCAATCCACCCAATACAGCCGGTGAACACTCCTACAACCAGGAAGGTGCGTATGTGTAGTTTGAACGCCTCTTCTCCGTCAATTTGGAATCAGGGTTTTAAGCCAACAGCCCAAATGCCAGTGGTTCATCCAACCAGTTATAGTTCGTCCTCACAGTGAATTCGGAAAAACAACATCGGGGAAGGACAGTCAGCAGGCGGCTTCCTCAGAAAAATTTATTAGAAATGCTCAATCGTGTAAGAGAAATCGCGTGAGGCAAGGGAAGGATCATC